GCCAGATCTGTCCCCTGGATTCTGGCACTTTTGCAGGGCTCACCTGGTACCAGCAGGTTTTTGCCAGGCTGTGCCTGGGCCCAAGACCTGGCAGGACAGATGCTGGGGGCTGCTGAAAGGCAGAGGGCATGGTTCACTTTTAGTTGCAATGTGACCATCTTGCTGAATCCTTGGGTTATTTTTTTCTCAGATGGCCAAATTTGAAGCAATGACTCAAAACATCCACTCTGGTAAAAATCTATTCAAGTGCATAGAGTTGTTCAATGTGTTGCTGATTTCCTCTTCTACAGCAAGGCACTGGCCTTTCAGGCACACCAAGCGTAAAGAGCCTCACAGCTTTCAAATTTACAGCTGTCCAAATCAAATGTGCAAACTCAGTGGAGTTTGTTTATTTAATTCTGCTTTATACTACCCTTAACTTGATACCAAGTAAAAGAAACAATCTGGCAAAGACATCATTAAACAGATTAATAAGGACCGGATGATTCATTTTGTTTGAACAAATGGATTATTTTGCAGTCAATCAGAAGTACAAATGTTAACCAGCTTTAATTTTAGTTGAAAATGACAAGAGATCAGAAACAATTAAAGCAACTGTAAGGTGGGAGTACCCAGAGTTTGTGTTCTCTTGGATTTACACCTTACTAAAATTGCTTTCATTGCAATTCACAGCACCTGCTGCCTCCCCCCCTCCCCCTTCTTCTTCCTCCTGCACCCGGAGGGATGGGAGGGAGAATAGACAGAATGTAACTCCTACGGGTTGAAATGAGAACAGTCCAGTAACTAAAGTATAACACAAAACCACTACTGCTACCAACCTGAACAGAGATCTAGCCCTTCTGGGTAACTGCCCCCAGTTTATATACTGGGCATGACGTGGCGTGGTGTGGAATGCCCCTTTGGCTAGTTTGGGTCAGGTTTCCTGTCTCTGCTTCCTCCCAGCTACCCCTCCTCCCTGGCAGAGCATGAGACTCAGAAAGTCCTTGGTCAGTGTCCTGGGTTCAGCAGTAGCAGTCAATTTTTCTCCTTCGTGGTAGGTGGTGCAGTGCTGTGTTTTGACTTCCAGCCTGGGAACAGTGCTGGTGATACCAATGTTTTCGGTGGTTGCTAAGTGATGTTTACCCTGACCAAGGACTTTGTGAGGCTCATGTTCTGCCAGGGAGGAGGGGAAGCAAGGAGGAAGCAGAGACGGGGCGCCTGACCCAGGCTAGCCAAAGAGGTATTCCATACCACAGCACATCATGCCCGGGGTGGGAGGTAACTGGGAGTTACCCGGAAGGACAGGGGCTTCCGGGTGGGACTCGTTTCTTGGCCGGTGGTATCGTATTCTCTTCCCTTGTTATTTTCTCTTATCATTGTTGTTGTTGATAGTAGCGGTGGTGATTTGTGTTGTACATTAGTTGCTGGACTGTTCTTGTCTCAACCCATGGGAGTTGCACTCTTTCAATCCTCCTCCCCATCCCTCACGGGAGCGGGGAAGGGGAGAGCCCTGGGGGGGGGGGGGGGGGGGGGGGCCTCAACTGCTCTCAGCCCGGCAGCACTCACTGGGAGTGAGTGAACAAGCTGTCTGGCTAGGGTATAAACCACGGCAGTTTATTTTTGGTGCCCAACATGGGGCACGAGGGGTTGAGATAACAACAGATCTGTCCGGATTAATAGTCACTCGTCACAATGCTGTTTTATTGGCTCTCAAGGTTGTTCCTCTTGATCTCACAGTTTCAGTATATCGCATCTTACTTCCATCTGGTATTTGCTGTATTAGTGTTTTTCAAGTGTGGGGCTTGGGCTAAGGTTTTTGTCCCATTGTACTTTATGGTAATGACTTGTAATACAATAGAATCATTGATCATGAAACTGATCTGGCTTATGTTCCCAGTGTGGTCACCACCTTTATACTTTGGGAGTTACATAACAGAAGTGCTTAGCAATTACACATCTTTTTTCTCCTTCTCGGGTGGTCAACCTGTGAAGGAGACATTCTTTTACCCTCCCAGTCGTCCCCCCAGACCATTTACATTTGAGAGTTTTGAAGTTTTTGAATGGCCTTTTAACGCTGTTGAGACTTGTTTGCCGATCGTGGTGGGGATCACCATGTTGGCACGCATACAGTGTGTGTTTTGCCCACAACGGATTTCAAGAGTTAAGCAGAGTCAGGTTTGGGTCTTGTCTGGGGTCAAACGACGATGTAAAAGAGGACCAAGAGATTTTCCCTGAGGCTGGACAGTCATGAGTGGCAGGGTGTGTGGGATAGTATGGGCAAGTATCGAGATCAGTGGGCCCCTCCAGTACTTTGGAATTTCACCACCGAACAACTGCAAAATCCAGAAGAATTAGTAAAACACTTAAATGAGGTGTGCAGTCATTCTGGCCATACCAGAGATGGACAAATCATGGCAACGTGCTGGGGCTTGGCCTATGCTTACAGGGCCTTGTTCAACACTATCCAGCACCTTCAAAAGGAAAAGATTGTCAGTGGACCTGAGGGCAAAGCAACAGTCAGCACAGCTACTCCAGCTCCAAGCACAGCAGCTTCACCACCCCCAGCGACAAGTACAGTCGCTACTCAAACTCTGGCTGCAATGAAGAGCGCAGCTACCCCAGTGGCAAGAACAGCAGCTACTCCAACTTCGACTGCAACAGACAGCACAGCTACCCCAGCTCCAAGCACAGCAGCTACACCACCTCCAGCAACAAGTACAGTCACTACTCAAACCACAGTGATAATCACTGCAGCTAAACCAGAGGACCAATTCGTACCAGTATCGGTTGCCCCTGTATGCAAGAGAAAAAGCAAAAAAGAGGCAAGAAGGGTGAAGCCAGATGAAGAAACATTGTATTCACCACCCGGTCTAGCATCTGATCAGGAGTCATCATCACATGACGAAGAAGAGGTAACTTCTCAACCTTGGCCCTCAACCGAGCTACGGAATATGCGAAAGAATTTTACCCATCAACCAGGGGAGCACATCATCACCTGGTTACTCCGATGCTGGGACAATGGGGCTGATGGTCACGAACTAGAAGGTACAGAAGCCAAGCAGCTGGGATCACTTGCTGGAGAAGGGGGAATTGACAAAGCAATTGCAAGAGAGAAAAAGTCCCTCAATCTTTGGAGGCAGCTCTTGGAAGCTGTGAAAGAAAGTTTTCCATACAAGGACGATGTTATGAGTCGCTTGGCCAAGTGGACTACTATAGACAAAGGCATCCAGTGTCTGAGGGAATCAGCCATCGTAGAGATGATCTATCACATCAAGCCGAATAACAGGGATATACCCATAGATCCAGATGAATCTGAATGTACACGACCCATGTGGTGAAAACTGATAAGTCTTCTTGCTCGAAACAAGCGAGGGTGATATATGAATACACCCACACACCTCCTATCAAGAAATCTTTTCATTTTTGGATTTCAGAGCAGAAAGAGAACATCAACTCTTTTTGACATCTGCATAGCTAAGTCTATATACATGCTTGCCTAACCTTTGCATTTAGTATTTTTCTGATTTCAACTCTTAAAGCAACTTTTGCAAACCACATTAAGTCTTAGATTTTGACTGAATAAAAAATTTGGTTCAGCAGTTAAACTGAATCTACAGCTAACGAGATGTCACCATGCACATATAACAGACTGGCAGGGACAGTTGTAGTAGCTGCACAAACACACACAATCAAAATGCAAGTGTATGTTTTCCTTGAAGCATATACCGGCTTGTCCTGGGTTCAGCTGTAGCAGTCATTTTTCTCCTTCTTAGTAGCTGCTGCAGAGCTGTGTTTTCAACTTTGGCCCGAGAACAACGCTGATAACACACCCGTGTTTTTAGATGTTGCTAAGTAATGCTTACCCTGATCAAGGACTTTTCAGTCTCATGCTCTGCCAGGGAGGAGGGACATGGGAAGCCAGGAGGAAGTGGAAACAGGACACTTGGCCCAAACTAGCCAAAGGGGTATTCCATACTACAGCACATCATGACCAGTATATAAATTGGGGGGAGTTACCCAGAAGGCCCAGATCATTGCTCAGGTTGGTCTGGGTATCAGTCAGCAGGTGGTGAGCAATTGTATTCTCTGCCCCTGTTATTTCCCTTATCATTACTGGTGGTAGCAGTAGTGGTTTTGTATTATACTTTAGTTACTGGACTGTTCTTATCTCAACACATGGGAGTTATATTCTTTCAATTCTCCTCCCCATCCCTCCAGGAACTGGGGAAGGAAGAAGGGCAGGGGAGTGAGTGAGTGACTGCATGGTTCTGAGTTACCAGCTGGGCTTAAACCATGACATGGCTTTATCTCAGCTTTATTTTTACATACAGGATTTCTGTAGCATCAAAGAGTATATAAATAGCTCTGTTAGATTGCCTAGAACAGCTGAATTTTTCCACTAATTTTTAGCATCTGATTGTCAAAGTGACAGAATGCTCTCCTGTCTTCCCTATTTCAACAGATGACAGTGCTTGCTAAATTCATCTGGACAGCCCAGTTAAGGAACCCATAACATTTTCATGATCCATTTCTTGTGCTTCATGAGATACTACAGACAAAGGGATGGCTCTTGCCCCTAAAGGCACCCCACCTTCGACAACTTTCTTCACATCACCAAGTTCCATGTGCTATTTCTCTCTACACTACTGAAACCATTTAATATTGCTTTAACATTCCCTTCACATCTTTATCCAATTCCCCTGTAATTCAAAAGAAAAATTACTTGTTCCATTAAATCAAATTTTAATGGAGTATTTCAGTTGGGCAGTACACAGGTATGAGCAGAGAAGATGAACCAGTGTCATACCTCTCAAACAACCCATTCTGGCCCTGCTAGAACAGATCTCCCTCCATTCCTTTCCACTGGAACTGATCCACTCGGTATCAAATAACCACTTATTGAGTAAGACACTCTCGATGATCAGAACTCTTATGTGGAAGACATGACAGATACCTGTCCTGTTCCAACTAACATTTATGGAAAGCAAGCAGCACTAACTGCACTATATCACAGAGTTCATTTCATAACGTTGCAACAGTGTCTACTGTCCATTGTTTTCTGGATGTGTTGTGGCGGTTTCAGTGCCAACAGGTTGCGCATTGTCGGCAAGGTTGTGTGCGTGCTCGAGGAACAAGTCTTTCAGTACGCTCAGCTCCTTGGTCAGGAGTTTAATTTTTGCCTCTAAACGTTCATTTTCATCTTTGAGCTGGTTGACTTTTTGCAGCGTGTCTTGTGCTTTCTGCTTGCTTTTTAACCGGCTCTTTTTCACTGCCATGTTGTTTCGCTCTCTTCGCTGACGATACTCATTACTGTTTCTATCCACAAAGGAATTTTTCTTTCCCTGTTTGCTTGGAGGCACAGCTTTGCCTCCACCACCAAGACTAACAGGCACCAGCTGGGGAACCTGCTGCAAACCACTGGTGTGTGCTTGGGTGTGAATCACACTTACTCCATTTGCATCTGCATTGGTGTTCTGTTGGGATGTCTTGCTCATTTGGACAGGCTCTTCTTGGACACAACGGAATTTATTAAGACACTGAAAAAGATTAAGTTTCTAGAAGGTGTTTCCAAAAGGTCTTTGCACGGATTAAGGGCAAGGTGAACCTAGTAGGAACAAAAAAATAATTAAAGGTGCTAGCTTCAGCTAGAATCTTATACATCACTGGCTTTTAGCATAAGGTACTGATGGTACATCTGGCAATAACACATCACAACTGTGCTGGAAGTGGACAAGCTGCCAACTACATTTCAGAAGCCTCTTGAATGTATTTGGATTGGAAGGGACTGTTACTAGGTCATCTAGTCAAGCTGTTTGCATTGTTCACTGGCTTTACTCTTATTCCAAAGCCATCCCTGATGGATGGGCATCTAGCCTAGCCTTGAATATCTCCAGTTTCACAACCTCCGTCTTGGCAACAGGTTCCACTGTCTAACTTTTCCTCCAGTTATATAATTTTCTTAATTTTCAGACTGGAGTTTTCCTTCTGCAGCTTAAACCTATTAACAGCCTGACTCCTGAGCAACAGGACCACTTGATCCTTGCCCACTTCAGACCATCCCTCTGGGTGTATGCACAGACAAATTCCTCCCTGGTCTCTTTTCTCTGGAATGAGGGTGCTCAGACTGTCCATATTCCCTCAAGCATCTTACAACACTTGCTTTTGAAGGTGATGTCCACATCAACAACTGTTTTAAGGTCCGAGTAGAAAAAAATAATCTATGGAAAAATGTAGCATGCTCTGAAGGCTGTGACTGAGTGACATTAAAGAATCCCCCATGCCACAAGCAAGGTAAGACAAGCTAAGCCTGTTAATAGTACTGTAATGAGCAGGTGGGACAGGAATGCAGGGTGATGGCAATGTGAGTGAGAATCACTACATTGCAAAGACAGGGGACTGTTGCCACCCACAGGAAGACAGCAGCCACAGCTGATTTGTCCACAAAATATATCCCCCTGCTGTAGCTCCTGCACCAGTCGTTGTCCACTCTCATTTCCAGCAAACAGGCCTGATGAGCAGGACCCCCTCTCAACTGACTCACATTCTCCCACTGCTGAAGTCAACCTGCTCCTGACCCTACTGGTGGCACAAGGAGGACTCCACCACAGCTACTGACAGGACACGGCCCTGGCAAGGCTACCAGCTGCTCCCCTTCTCTTTCCATCTCACAGGATGACCTCCTAAACATCTGGGAGAGAAGTTTGGAAGTGATGAAGGGAAGGGCAACATGGTTCTTCTAAGTTACTGAAACATCTACCGATGGCTCAAATGATCAGTCAAACAAGTGTTATTTTTCTTTACCATGACAAGAAATCATCTAACTGGCATAAAACAATCCTACTCCAGGTCCTGGGTTCATCTGTAACAGTTATTTTTCTCCTTAGTAGCTAGTGCAGTGCTGTGTTTTCAACTTTAGCCTGAGAACAGTGCTGATAACACACAGATGTTTTAGTTGTTGCTAAGCAATGTTTACCCCAATCAAGGACTTTTCAGTTTCATGCTCTTTCAGTGAGGAGAGGCACAAGAAGGGGGGGGGAGGAGTGAGCGAGTGGCTGTGTGGTTCTGAGTTACCAGCTGGACTTAAACCACAACACTCCAAGATCAGATTGCACTGCAACAGTGCGGCCCTATGCTCTGTCACAGACATATATGCAGCATCACATGACTAATGTTCAACATCCTCCTTGCCCATCCTCAAGAGGACTTGATGGGACAGCAAGCAGTTGAAGTCAGCTGTGGGCAATGTATAAGCAGTGTCCAACCCAGGGATTATGGCTAGCATCAGTAACAGCACAACAGCTTGATGACTGCACTCCTGTGTCTAGCTGATGAATGGATGTGGTTAGGTGTTTGTAAACAAGCTGCTGTATGTCACTGGTCTTTCTAAACTCAAGGGTTCATCAGCTGTTTACTGGTCTTGTTTGTTTGTTTCGGCTATTTTACCTTCTGCTAGGGTATCATTAAAAAGGTTCAAATTCCATCTAGATCAATTGCAAATTTTCTTTTGTACTGAGGGAGCCAGAACAAGTGGCAGCTGCAGTACAGTTCAGTAAAATTCACAGGAAAGCCTAACAAGTTTGGTTTGTATGTTATTCAAAATTAACAGTCTCTCACTGATAAGTCTTCTTGCTCGAAACAAGCGAGGGTGATATATGAATACACCCACACACCTCCTATCAAGAAATCTTTTCATTTTTGGATTTCAGAGCAGAAAGAGAACATCAACTCTTTTTGACATCTGCATAGCTAAGTCTATATACATACTTGCCTAACCTTTGCATTTGGTATTTTTCTGATTTCAACTCTTAAAGCAACTTTTGCAAACCACATTAAGTCTTAGATTTTGACTGAATAAAAAATTTGGTTCAGCAGTTAAACTGAATCTACAGCTAACGAGATGTCACCATGCACATATAACAGACTGGCAGGGACAGTTGTAGTAGCTGCACAAACACACACAATCAAAATGCAAGTGTATGTTTTCCTTGAAGCATGTACCGGCTTGTCCTGGGTTCAGCTGTAGCAGTCATTTTTCTCCTTCTTAGTAGCTGCTGCAGAGCTGTGTTTTCCACTTCAGCCAAGTTTCCTGATTTTGAAGACAAACAAGAAACCACCTCTGAGCATCTTCATCGCAGTGCGAGGTGGCAGGCTCAGCAGTTATTCCCACGGAGGCAACATTGACCTGGGCTGTATGAGCTTTTGCCTCCCCCACATCGCATGAGGCTCCAGCTTTTATACTGACAAAAATGCACACTTATTTTGATGCCGGGGGCCAGCCTACATCACAAGAAGTGGCCAACAATATCTAGAAAGTTCTCCAAGGGTCAAGACTTTTCTTGGGAGTTCTAAAAGCAGAACTTTCCAAGTAGGGACCAAAGATGGACTCTCTGGGGAGGAGCCAAAGCAGACAAACTTTTCTATCTTTGTGCGTTTAGCCACAGACCATTATTTATTGTCCCTGACACACCATGGGATTTACATTCTTTCAATTCTCCTTCCCATCCCTCCAGGAACAGGGGGAGGAATAAAAGGGACAGCGAGCGAGTGGCTGTGTGGTTCTGAGTTACCAGCTGGACTTAAACCACAACACCAGTATGAGTAACTAGATAGCTGGACAACTCTAATATTGTGATAACTAAAAATACAGGAAGTAGTACTAGAAGATTCAGAACTAGAAAGAAACTGGAAATACGTAGTTGTGAGACTTATTAGCTGCATAGCAAGTAAGAACAAAGGCACTGGATTTTTCCTGTAAATGAACTCCAGGCAGTGCTACAATAAAATGGATGTTTGCTCTTAGAACAGAATGACTTCTTTCTTTACTTAGTATTTTCTAAAACAAAACCACTAGAAACTTTCCAAGGCTATAGTGAGTCAGCGGTAGAATTAGAAGTACAATCCTGAAATAGTAGTCACCACTAAGCAATGTTTCCTCTCCTTTCTCTTCACCTATTCAAAAAGGCTACCTCTGACAAATCACCTATTAATAGACAAATTTATATCATTTAAATTATTAAATTGGACTGAAGAAAATCTCAGAAATTTTCTGTTTAACAAGTATAAGCTTTTTCAAACAACTGGACAGAGATATTCATAATGCTGCTGCTTTATGAATTTATTTTTTTTTAAATATAGCCAGATTCCTGATAAACAAAACTCAGCAATCCTTCTTTCTGAAGCTCTTAGAACCTCAGCTCTGCAAAATTTAAATTTCTAACAACAGAATTCTGGTCTTAGTGCAGGTCAGTCCTGAATGTGAAAAGTAATTCTTGCAATACCAAAATGAAGTGGTTATTAACAGAAGGGAGGTTTGCAATAAGAAGATTAGGGAAAACCTCTATTACAGACTATGCACTTCTGGTATATTCCTGAATGAACGTCATCTGCTTGGTGATCATAAGGAATGCAATCATATTCAGTGAACTTTTCCTGTTCAGTTTTGAACACATCCAGGTTGAAAGAACAGGGGTAGCAGATACTAATAAAAGCTTTTATTTTGTTGTAATTCAGTGCATTTGCCCTCAAATACATTAATACATTGTATATCGCAGCCTGGAATGGTGTATTTTTTACCTAAGGGGCCTATTTATTTCCACTGGTAAAATATATATACAAATACATTTATTTTCTTCTCTGCTAAAATTACTGGAAACGACAGACTTCTCATCTAGAAGAATTCAAAGTCATGGATAGAGACCAGAGGAAAAAACTACACAGTAGCATCATATACGAAAAGTAAACTTCTAAGAAAAATGTGCAAAAAAAAAAAAAAAAAAATCCAGTGAAGGGTTATCCATAAGGGAAATAGAGGCAAATAACTGAATGCTTTGAGAAAAAAAGATTTTTTTTTTTCAAGTGTAGGTTGTAGTCCAGGGTGTTTGTATGGTTTTTATTTTAGGATGAAAATAATTGCCCATGAAGACAGAGCTAACACACAAAGAATCAGACACAACAGAAGGGATTCAAACAGCCACAAACCAGTTCTCACACTAAGTGGAAGGCTGCAGAGAACTTAATGTTATTTTAAGTGTTAAGGAAACATACTGAGTGGGTAATCAACAGGGGCATTTACCCTAACAGGCTCCTCTACACCTTCTGCCTCCAATTCCTACAGTTTCTATTTCCTCAATAGCATTTCTGCTTCTAACGATAATTTACTGTAATTACTTGAAGATACTGAATACCTGTGTATTTTTTTTTAAGGGATAAGGTCTTTAAAGAATCATGAGACTGGATTATGCACACAAAAATAAGATACAATATTATTGATAGTCATACAAGTAGACCTTTGCTCTAGGAATGCATCCAGAATGGAGCAAAACCAACTCCATCCCAGCAGCAACCAGCCTGTTTCTGACACCTGACACCCGACACCCGAGTTCCAGCATAGCTCAGTAACTTGTAAACAAGCAGGTAAAGGGTGTGTTTCAATGCCACCTCTCAAGCAGTTGCACATATATTTATGTGACTACTTTTTAGAATATGACAGAAGCAATCTATTTTTACTTTAATATTGGGGGGAGGGGAATCTTGCAAACACTAAAGCACACTGTGTGATGGTTTTCCTGTAACAGGATACAATGCCAACCAAGCATGGGAGCTCCCTACTTGCATGGAATTATGTGCAAGCTTTAATATTTAAAATGATCAGACTCTATAAGAAAAAGTTGGTCTACATTTTATTTTCTTCATCTTTCTTTGATGAGGATTAATGAATGAATGGTCATAAAGTGCTCTAAAATCCTAGAAAAACACTTTAAGAGCACACACTTAACTATTGGGAGCAAAGGATAATGGTTAATGCTTACCTGGAATTTTGCTCTACCTATAGATGGATGAGTCATTGTAACAAAAAATCTAACAGTTTCAACTGAGAAACAGAAAAGCATTAGAAATTTTAAAACAAATACTTGATAAATGACAAGGAAAAGTATCTTCATAATAATGAACTGAATAAAACTCTTTGCCCAGACTAATCCTCAGAATTCTTCTGCAAATGCGGTTTATTTTCACAGGGCTTTTCAAAAACAATAATCATCCCCTTAATCTCAACATCAGCCAGTCATAAAAATGGCAAATACAAATAACTATATCTACATCACTGAGCTCTGCAATTCTGCTTACAAATTTGATTCTTCCCACTTCTGCAGACATGGTTCCTAGGCAGGTCTACCCACTAAACTGAGTAACACAGATTGGTAACATTTTTCTCTGTAATTAAACAAAACCTGCTCCCCCCCACACACACTGTTTTCATTGCTTGCACACCTGAACTTGTTCAAAATATGCTACCCTATAAACTGACAATTTTCAAAGCTGCCCACTGCAAATACACACACCTACACACCTTTGTATTTCTCATCTGAAGAGCTATAACCACATCCTGCACACATACAGCTTGAGATAGGAGCATATATATGTTTATACTGCGATTGTTCAGTCAGACTTAAGGTGAGATAAACCAAAGTGTCTGAAAACATTAAGGGCCAAAAATATATAATCCTTATTATAAAATATTTTACTTTTTACAGACAACAAACATATACCAGTGAATCAGTACTTATTCATCCGATGACATTTTAGCTCTGTGATCTGGATGCTCCCTAATCTGCCAGGGTTTAACTTTTTTAATATTTGGGAAAATAAACCCACAAAAACCAAAATAAACACCCCCCCCAAAAAAAAAAAACCAAACAAACAAACAACCAAACCCTGGCTGATTTTTTTTTAATTTGCTGTAATTTCTGCTGTCAAAAGAACAGCTACAATTCTTACTTGGTGCCTTTGGTATTACTTCCCCCATACCTCTCATCCTCCTAGAGAGACAAACCACACAGCAGGTAAATTGAGATGGAAATACACAGCCAGGTGTTACTTACTAGCCCAGACCCAATTAACAGGTACCAATCAGTACAGAAACATAACACAATCTATTGTGGTGCCCATGGGGTATCACTGGCCAATTCCGTGCCAGCTGTTGCCATGCAACCACCCAGCTGGCCCCTGGCCTGGAGGTAGTCAGACCGCCCTCTCCTTCATGGGTGGCCGTGGGATGAGCCTCTAACGCTGCCCGCGAGGGGAAGGAATCAGAAAAACACAGGGTTTGTTCCTACCCCTCAGGCAGATGAGAACCGTGGGGTCCGTTGGGAGGCGCCACCAGCCTCCTCGGCCTGGGGATAGGGGTGACCGCCCAGTTCCTCACAGGCCGCCAAGCCCCAGGTGGGCCGGAAGGGCACTTGACACCTCCACCAGCCCAATCCCCCATCGGCGAGGGGAAGATAACACCGGCAGCGCCACGCTGGGGGGATATGCGTAGCTCTGCTACGCGTTTCTTTCTACCCTGCAACAGCACAACTCCATGGGGCGGCCTCAGCACCTCCTAGCCTTCCATGCCCCTAACGGGGCGGGCAGAATCAGTACTAGAACACACACCATCATTCCGCAGAGAGAGGGGGGCAGAAGCCCTCGCCCTTACAGGCTACCGGTGGCCTGATTGGTCGCGCCAGCTGCCAATTCCGGCGGGCGGAGCGGGAGGTGTCGCAATCGCCCCTCATTTGCACGCCTCACGTAAACGAAAGAGGTTCGGGTTCAGCCTAGTGCCCGCTGCCGTCCGCTCGTGCCGACATAGGTAAGTGCTACTACGCAAGGGGCGACAGGCCGGGGGTCTGCGGCAGTTCCCGTTTCTCCCTCCGCTGTGTCGCGGTGGATGCCGCGTAAGGGAGCGCATGATGCAACTGGTAGGCGGCCTTGCCTCTTTTCCTTCCTCTCCGCCGCTGAAGTCACGGTTTAGCACCTCTAACCATCCCCGCGCGGGCGGGGGAGGAGGAGTAGTGCTGCCGGGAGGGCGGTGGCACCGCTGCCACGGGCCCGTGGGGGAGGGGAGCGGGGCTGGGCTGGGTCGGGCCGAGGCGTCTCCACGTGTCATTGACGGCGGGGTCGGGCCGTCGTTACGACTCGTCGCAGCCGTTACTGAGTGTACCCGGCCTGGGGAAAGGTCAGTGAGCGGCGTGTGTAACACTGCTGGTGCCGTCACCGCGTAAGGCCGCGAGGGACCCCGGAGCAGCCCTGGACCGTGACAGAATGCCGTGCTGTAACGACTGGGACTCTGTAACAGCTCTTAATGGCGTTCTGAATGTCTTGACAAGTCACTGTGGTTCCCAACAAATTTTTAGTTCCAGATGCAACTTTCAAAATAGACCTAGTCCAAAACGCCTGGTGTCAGTTTTAGCTCTGACAATTCGGTACTCCCCTCAATAATAGTGGTTATAATGCCTCTTCAGAGTATAAAAATTCATAATTTGAAAATCTTGACTATAAGGCATTAGTTCATCTTTAGAAATAGTTGCTTTCATTACAACTCAAAAGACAGTCATATCGATACCTCCTGGCATCTGGGATTGTTTTTGGTTTTGTCATCAATGCTGCCAGCCTGCAGTTGAGATATATAGCTCAGATGTTCCGAGCACTTTTTTTTTAAGGATGTTGGAGTGTATTTTTTTCTTTTAAGGTATATAGAAAAGACAGATTCCAAGAAAAATATGGGAAAGCAATGTCAGTTATGGCAACAGATTATAGATTTGAATGACCCAGTCTTAAAGTTGTGTAGCCTTCAGTATGTGAGAATTACCATCAACTCTTACTAACTTGCCTGTGAGAGTGGGCAGAAAACCACTCGGGAGTGGATACTCCCAGTGTTCCACAAACATATGGCTGAAGCTTTATGCTGTTGTTCTTTGTACAGAGTCATCTGGATTTAGAGTCAGATCCTACTGGGGTATTCCTGTTGAAGTCAGAGACAAGGGAGACCACCTATTGCTGTGCAGATTGGGACTGATTTTACATTAGACAAGGCAGCCGAGTAACTGCAGTAAAGTCATTCTGACTAAAAATCACAATCAACAGTCACATCTCGGAAAAGGAGCAGAGAAGTGCTTTGTGTTGTTTGGGTTTATTCCCCCTTTTTTTTCTGCCAAATAAAAACAAAGGCAACTGATTTAATTAACAAATTAAAACACATCTTGTTTTTTACCAAAGCAAACTTTTTTTTTTTTTTGAAAGCAAAGATGATAAAAGCCTTGATTTGCTTGGGAGTCTTTGTGGTCTCTGAGGAGCACTGTCAGTAAGAAACATCTCTCTGCCTGATAACACACCTTTGAGTTACCAGCTATTATGCTGTAGTTGGTGGCCCAAGGAGAGAACAAGGCAGTTCTACCTGGTCACTGGAAACACTACCATGTGCTGGGTGGAATCAGCCTAGGGCTGTTGCTGAGCTTAAGGTGATGATCACCTTTATGTGAACAAGATGAGAAACTCAGTGGCTCTCTGAGGCTGTGCTGGGGCTATCACCCATTCACAAGAAATCAGCCTGTTTGCAGTAGGGGAGAGGAGCAGAGCAGCTGTGTTTGTGTGACAAAGTGAGAAATGAACTTTGAGACACATCTGCCTCCCTGCCCTCATGGCACCTCCCAATTACTGTGTATTTTACCCCACCCTTTATAAGGGCCCCCCTCTGTGTCTCATACCTGCTGCTTTTAAATCTTGCAGTGTTCCTTGAAGGATGCTCCATAGCACCTGTTGCTATCCTTCCCTCATTGTTCTGTTGAAGAACTGACAGTTGGTAATAGGAATCCAGGCTCCAAATAACCAAGGGGAAATTAGTTTCAAGAATGAGCTGTTGCCACTCCTGGGTTATCTGTGATATAGTGCAGTTAGTGCTGCTTGCTTTCCATAAATGTTAGTTGGAACAGGACAGGTATCTGTCATGTCTTCCACATAAGAGTTCTGATCATCGAGAGTGTCTTACTCAATAAGTGGTTATTTGATACCGAATGGATCAGTTCCAGTGGAAAGGAATGGAGGGAGATCTGTTCTAGCAGGGCCAGAATGGGTTGTTTGAGAGGTATGACACTGGTTCATCTTCTCTGCTCATACCTGTGTACTGCCCAACTGAAATACTCCATTAAAATTTGATTTAATGGAACAAGTAATTTTTCTTTTGAATTACAGGGGAATTGGATAAAGATGTGAAGGGAATGTTAAAGCAATATTAAATGGTTTCAGTAGTGTAGAGAGAAATAGCACATGGAACTTGGTGATGTGAAGAAAGTTGTCGAAGGTGGGGTGCCTTTAGGGGCAAGAGCCATCCCTTTGTCTGTAGTATCTCATGAAGCACAAGAAATGGATCATGAAAATGTTATGGGTTCCTTAACTGGGCTGTCCAGATGAATTTAGCAAGCACTGTCATCTGTTGAAATAGGGAAGACAGGAGAGCATTCTGTCACTTTGACAATCAGATGCTAAAAATTAGTGGAAAAATTCAGCTGTTCTAGGCAATCTAACAGAGCTATTTATATACTCTTTGATGCTACAGAAATCCTGTATTTAAAAATAAAGCTGAGATAAAGCCATGTCATGGTTTAAGCCCAGCTGGTAACTCAGAACCATGCAGTCACTCACTCACTCCCCTGCCCTTCTTCCTTCCCCAGTTCCTGGAGGGATGGGGAGGAGAATTGAAAGAATATAACTCCCATGTGTTGAGATAAGAACAGTCCAGTAACTAAAGTATAATACAAAACCACTACTGCTACCACCAGTAATGATAAGGGAAATAACAGGGGCAGAGAATACAATTGCTCACCACCTGCTGACTGATACCCAGACCAACCTGAGCAATGATCTGGGCCTTCTGGGTAACTCCCCCCAATTTATATACTGGTCATGATGTGCTGTAGTATGGAATACCCCTTTGGCTAGTTTGGGCCAAGTGTCCTGTTTCCACTTCCTCCTGGCTTCCCATGTCCCTCCTCCCTGGCAGAGCATGAGACTGAAAAGTCCTTGATCAGGGTAAGCATTACTTAGCAACATCTAAAAACACGGGTGTGTTATCAGCGTTGTTCTCGGGCCAAAGTTGAAAACACAGCTCTGCAGCAGCTACTAAGAAGGAGAAAAATGACTGCTACAGCTGAACCCAGGACAAGCCGGTATATGCTTCAAGGAAAACATACACTTGCATTTTGATTGTGTGTGTTTGTGCAGCTACTACAACTGTCCCTGCCAGTCTGTTATATGTGCATGGTGACATCTCGTTAGCTGTAGATTCAGTTTAACTGCTGAACCAAATTTTTTATTCAGTCAAA